CCAGAGTGGTTGGTGGCGAGGCGGCTGGTGAGCCCAGATAGCGGTTGGCAGCTAGTAAGCCCAGGCGGGACTCTGGCGGCGAGCAGCAAGACGACAGTGCAGAGGATATCGAGCCCAATGTTAGTGAAAGAACAAGCCCTTGCAGGGAAAGCCCTGTGTGGAGCATCTGCAAGCCCATGGTTAAAGAAGGACTGTAATGCTGAACTTTTAACTTTCTTTCTTTATTTTTCTATGTTATATTAAGCAGAACCATAATGCTGAACTTTTAACTTATTTCTTTATTTTTCTACTTTGTACCTAAGATTTTGTACCTAGGTGCCTTTGTACCCAAGTTGGCGCCAGGAATGGTGACATTGTACACTTTTCGATACTCCTGTATCCCTGTACTTGAGTACATGTGACAATAAAACATATTTCTAATTCTAAAATTAGTATATTCTCTGCTCAAAGTTCAGGCTTGGCAAACATTTATCTTTTCTGGCTCTCAGCAAGCTGTAAACTAAATGCAACCAAAATTGCAACTGTCTGTAATATTATTAGGCTTACATGAAAGCCAGCAACTTGATCCCAAAAATCACCTTTTCAACAACAATGGGAAACAGTTCAGTCCCTGTTTCCAAATAAACATGCTAATTAGCCACCCCTGAACACAACAATCTTTCATCTTGGAAACAAAGGTGCAGATTTCAGCACAATTACTTGCAATTTTGATATTATTGAAATTTTTATAGATTTCAGGATTTCAGAAGGCTTTAAGTCTTTTGACTGTAGACATAAAACAGCTGAAATTGTTCTGAATTGTAAAAAAACAATTCATGTGTGGGAAAACAAGTAGTGAGGATAATTCTAGGTATGGAGAGATTTTCTTATCAGGAAAGCTGAATAACATTCGCCCCAGGTCAACTCCTATTTGTATTTTCCAGTGGGCTTTTTTTTTACCATTTGGGCTTGTACTAATTGGCATTTAGGGGAGGCGATGGCTTAGTGGTATTATAACTGGACTGTTAATCCAGACTTCCAAATAATGTTCTGGGGGCCTGGGTTCAAATCCCGCCACGGCAGAGGGTGGAATTTGAATCCGATAAATATCGGGAATTAAGTCTAACAATGACCATAAATCAATTGCTGATTGTCGGGAAAAACCCTTCTGGTTCTCTAATGTCCTTTAGGGAAGGAAACTGCCATCCTTATCTGGTTTGGCCTACATGTGACTCCAGACCCACAGCAATGTGGTTGTCTCTTAACTGCCCTCTGGCAATAACTGTTGCCTGGCCAGCATGAATGAATAAAGAAAATAAAAGTTTAAAAGAATAACAGAAGACCTATTGAAACATATAACATTCTGAGAAGGCTTGAAGGGTGGTTGTTAAGACGTTGTTTCTCCTTGTGGGAGAGACTAGGACCAGAGTGCATAATCTTAGAATAAGGGATCACTCATTTAAGGCAGAGATAAGAGTAGTTTTTTTTCACAGAGGGAAGTCAAACTGCGGAATTCTTTACCACACAGGGCTGTTGAGGCCAGACTGTCAAGTGCAGTGAAAGCTGAGATAGATTTTTAATCAGCAAAAGGATCAAGGTTTACGGGGAAATGGCAGGAAAGTATTGTTGAGTGTTATCAGATCATGATCTCATTGAAAGGCAGAGTATGCTCCATGGGTTAAATTGCCTACTTCTGTTCCTACATCTTAACGATCTTAACCCCTTCAGTCACACAATTTGAGTCTTCCCTATGATCCTTACAGATTACAACTCAACAGATTTCATGTTCCCTCTCATTTATCATAAGTTGTAAATATATAACTTCAAACTATAACATTCTTACAAATCGGAAGATATATCCTGAAAGATCATCATAATATCAACATTACCACCATAATTCTACAAGTAAAAATAAAAGATTCAGAAAAATAGAAAGAGAGAAAATACAAGTAAATATAAAATAGGTTCAAATGCAAATTATTGTAGATACTGGAAATATAAACAGAAAATGCTGGAAATATTCAGCAGGTCTGGCAATATCTGCTGGGACAGAAAAAGATTTACGTTTTTACACCCATGACTTTTCAGTAGGTCATGTGCTTTTGATCAATCATGTTCTCCAATTTAGCATGATACAACTCTGTGAAGATTAAATATTATTTAAGGATAGAATGCATACTTTGAAAACAAGTTCTCCTCCACCTTTCTTCACTTGAAGAGCTGAGTTTTGAGATTGTGATTATACTGCCACAGACTAACTTACTTAAATCCAGTCATAGAATCATACATCACAGACTCTACGGTCCAACTCATCCGTGCTGACCAGACATCCCAACATGACCTAGTCCCATTTACTAGCATTTGGTCCATATCTCTCTAAACCTTCTTATCTATATACCCATCCAGATGTCTTTGAAATGCTGTAATTGTACCTGCCTCTATCATGTCCTCTGGCAGCTCGTTCCATACATGCACCCTCTGCAAGAAAATGTTACCCCTCAGGTCCTTTTTAAATCTTTCCCCTTAAACCTATGTCCTCTAGTTTTGGATTCCCCTACCCTGGGAAAAGACACAAAAACAGAAGTTGCTGGAAAAGCTCAGCAGGTCTGGCAGCATCTGTGAAGATAAAAAAATCAGAGTTAACATTTTCGGTCTGGTGACCCTTCCTCAGAACTTAGGAAAAAGGCCTTGGCTATTTATCCTATCCATGCCCCTCATGATTTCATAAACCTCGAAAAGGTTACCCCTCAGCCTCCGACGCTCCAGAGACAAAAGCCCCAGCCTATTCAGCTTCTCCTTATAGTTCAAACCCTCCAGTCCTGGCAACATCCTTATAAATCTCTTCTACACCCTCTCAAGTTTAACAATATCCTTCCTGTAAGTAGGAAGAATCTATGGTATACATATGTATATATAAGTATCTATGGTATACATAGATTTTAAAAAGGTTTTTGATAAAGTGCGCAAAGATGGAGTTCATGGAACAAAAGAGATAGTGGTAACTTGAATACAAAATTGGCTGAGTGATAAGAAACAGAAATTGGTGGTAAAAGTTCCTCGACCTAAATTTGGGAATACATGGCATTTTCGAAACTCACAGATGACAATACAAAAAACCAAGAATAAAGTATTAAACTTCAAAAGAGTACAACTTGGTGAAACAGTGGACAACTGTTAGATGAACTGAATGTAAAGAAGTGAGAAGTGATTTATTTTAATATGAAAAATAAGGGAAGGCAATGTAAAATAAAAGAAAGGATTCTAGAGCTTGTAGAATCACAGGGATCTGGAGGTATACGTGCTATTATTAATATGGGGTTTAGAAGAAAGTCATGTTTTAAAATGCATCCTTTAATTTGAAATAAAATGGAATATTTTGAATCAGAGGATGATGATCATACTACTCTTGCAGCTGGCCTCCCATCTTGTATAAACATGAGTTTATCCAATATTTGGGTTTCATGTCATAACTCATACCAAATTCCATTCAACCATCACCCATTAGCTAAGAGTCAGGTAATGTATTTACTGCAAAAAAATTGCACCTTGGTTTCAAATTCCTCCACTGCTTTGCTCCTTCCTATCTCTAAAATCTCCTGCAGCACCACAGCTTTCTGAAATATCTTTGCTTTTAAAATTCTACCTGCTCCAGTGTCCTGCACCTTTAGCTGCCAAACCTTGAGTTCTCAAATACTTTCCTGAGCGTCTCTTACTGCCTAAATTATAATCTCAGAGATCGTAAGAACTGCAGATGCTGAAGTCAGAGATAACACAGTGTGGAGCTGGAGGAACACAGCAGGCCAGGCAGCATAGGAACAGGAAAGTTGATGTTTCGGGTCCGGGACTCTTCTTCAGAAAACATTATAATCAGATTGTGAGGAAGGTTCGCTGGACCCGAAACGTTAACTCTGTTGCAGGGCTGGATGAACACAACAGGTCAAGCAGCATCATCGGAGCAGAGGCTGCTTGGCCTGCTGTGTTCATCCAGCCCTGCACCTTGTTGTCTCGGATTCTCCAGCATCTGCAGTTCCTACTATCTCTGATTCAACGTTAACTCTGTTTTTCCCTTCACAGATGCTGCCAGACCTACTTAGCTTTTCCAGCAACTTTGTTTTTGTTCCTGATTTACAGCATCCGCAGTTCTTTTGGTTTTTATTATAATCTGCTTCTTTTAATCAGGTCATTGAATTGGTATCAAATTTCATAGGAGCAAATTACAGCAGATGCTGATACCTGTACTGAAAACATCAAATTTTGCAGATCACAGCGGATCAGGCAGCATCCATGGAGAGAAAGCAAGCTAAGGTTTCGAGTCTAGATGACTCTTCATCAGAGCGGGATATCAAATTTTAAATCATAAGCTATTTTAAAATGACACATAGATTAAAAATATCCTTGCTGTTTGTCGATGATTTCGCAAAGGGGCTGTACGCAGATGAGGAAGAAATGGGAAACAAATAACATCCATAAACGAAATGTTCACTGCTCCTTTCACTCCATCAACCGGAACTTTTACATGTTTATTGACGATGCAGGTATTACGTTTCCCGCTATCCCCTCCCTCCTCCCAAACTAACAATGATACTGCTCCATTTTTCCATTTATTTTATAAATCTCTAGATCGAAAGACATGAACTTGCAGGCATGTTACTCTTCCATTCTTGCATTGTTAATCAACTGCATCGCAAAACCCAGTTCTGAGGAAAGGTCACTTTTTTTTCTTCACATGCTGCTAGACCCTCTCAGCTTTTCCAGTAACTTCTGCTTTTGTTCACAAAACTGAACACCTCCACTGAAATTTGCCTCATGCGTTCAGTCGCTTCAGTCCACGTGACTAAACGTTTACGCGAGGCGGAGTTTCGGTTGGAGTTCGAATGGATACCAGTAACGGACAAAATTTTCAAAAAAAAATTGGGGCGGGGAGAGAGCGGAACGGAATATAATTCACAACGCACACATTACAATGACATATAAATAAAAGACATTACAGTTATCCATCGAGTTTTTTAAATGTATGTTTGTAAGTCACGAGATCGGTAAATGGCCCGATCCAACACTTGATGTAGGCTGGAAGGAAAAGAAAGGGAACACCGAGCTGTTGGTGGCGAGTGGAAGAAGCTGTAGGGTTCGACGTCTTCGTACCTCGGAATTGGTTAATCTCTGATGTTTTGGTTTGACAAAAGCGACATCCGTTTGTTGACAAAGAAACTAAGAGTCTTTAAATACGTATCTAAATATTTACATTTTGAAAAAACAAAACATTTATCGTATACATTTAAAGAAAAACAATCTTCTACGAGGAGGAAGTAGAATTGATCTGCTCAGATTTCAAAAGGTGACATTCGGCTGACAAAAAAAAGATTAAATTCATGGAACGTTACAGTTTGCTCATTTAATTTGGTTTGGGGGGGGGTAGGGGACCGAATGTGACATCAGTCTGCGACGAACGAGGTCACCGATAAAGTAGATATTGCACATTCAGCAAGGTAAATGATTTACCAAAACAATTTGAAATGCACTGAAATCGATTAACTCCCGAGAGACTGGGGCAAGAGAAAAGAAAACAAAAATGCACAGTAAAAATCGGCGAGATCAGCGTGAAAATCGCGTGGCAAAATAGTCAGCAGTCATATGAGCTCTCAATTTACTGAAGACCACAACTTACAAAACCGGTTTGACTTTTTTTTCATCCGTAAATTACATACGGAGGCGTGAAAACTGTGTGCGAGACAATAATCAGCTATCCCCAGGAGTCTCTATACCGCCTTCCTTAGAAACGCTAAGAATTTGAAACACAGGTTGTTCTGCACCTGGTGGAGCTTCTGTTTTTCGCAACTCTTGTTTCCAACATCTGTCTCCACGTAACCTCCTCAGCTCCACTTGACTTTTGCCCATATACTTCATAAGATAACATTTACCAGGACTTATATTTTTTTACAACGACAGCAGTGATTTTGGGATACAGTGAAGTTGTGCTTTTTGGCAGTGAAGCTCAGTGGGGAGGCGTGTTTGAAACCTGATTGGGATTTCTGTATGATTCTGCCACTCCGTGCATGTGACAGGAAAACGTTTGCTTCCTGTGTTTGCTGGTTAGTCTAATGGTGCAATTTACTCTGCGTGTCCTTTCTGGAGGAACTTTTTACACCATTCAGAAGTATTAAAATAACGTTATTGTGCAAATGTCAATGTTTTTATGTATTTAATGTTTAAAAAGATAAAGATGAAACTGAGCAGACAATTCACACTATTTGGAAGTGCCATATTCTGCGTGGTGATATTTTCCTTGTACTTAATGCTCGACCATGTTCAGTTCGATCATCCAAAGAACATGAAGAAAGGAGGGCTATTTCCAAATGTAAGTGTTCATAAACTACTTGTACGTTCATTACTGCTTGTGATCGCTGGGAACAAAGTCCGCGGACTGCAGTATACATTTCCCTTTTTAACAGATTGATAACTTACTTTAGAGTTACTCACGGGTAGAAATTGAAGTCTCTTGTATGTAACTATTTGCTGAAGGCTTTCGTTCTATTTTGTTTTTGTCTTTATTCAAAGATTATATTGTGGTATGAGGGTAGGGTAAGTTTACCCCTGCTTCAAAATTCCCCTCCCCACTTGCTTTTACAGGTGCATTGAAGATTTTTTTGGTTAAGAATTTGTATTTAAATAACGCTATTCACGACGTGCCAAAATACTTTAACAGTCAATTTAAAGATTTTGAAATTTAGCGGAGGAAACAGCCAATTTGTGCAGATGCTCCACACATAGCAATGGGGTAAAGTTTCGATCATCAGTATTTTGGCTAAGTAATTTGGAATAACTCCCAGGTTCTTAAAATTGTGGCATGGAATATTTTTAAAACTACCCGAAATGCAAATAAGGCCTTGATTAACATCACATTTGAAGACAGCACTTAAATTACAGAGAATACTGTAAGTACTGAACTGGCCTGTCACCTCATAATTTTGTGCTCAACTGGAGTGGGATGTGAACCTAGAATCATATGATTGTTGAGAATACTATAACTGAGCCATGATTGACCCAAAATACACAGAAAATGCCTTCTGTTCATGACATTTGAAAAGGAAGCTTTGCTTTTTCTGTCACTTCTGTAGGTGTTCACATCCCTGGTGACAATGGTTCATATGGAAACTGTAGATGTACAAAGGGACCGAGGTGTCCTTGTCAGTAAGTCACTGAATGTGTTCATGTGGTGCATAAAGCTATTAGGAAGGCTAATAGGAAGGTGTTTATTGCAAGAGGATTTGAGTACTTGAGTAATGAAATCTTGTGTTAAAGTCGAGTACTGGGTGCAGTTTTGGGCTTCTTATCTCACAGAAGCTATTACTACTCTACAGAGAGTGCAGCAAAGGTTCATGAGACTTGTTTCTGTGATGGTGAGACTGTCCTATGATGGGAAATTGGACAAACTGAGTTTTTAAAAAAATTCATTCAGGGGATGAGGGCCTCGCTGGTTAGGCAGCATTTATTGCCCATCGCTAATTGCCCAGAGGGCAGTTCAGAGTCAACCACATTGCTGTGGGTCTAGAGTCACATGTAGGCCAGACCAAGTAAGGATGGCAGTTTCCTCTCCTAAAGGACATTAGTGAAACAGATGGGTTTTTCCAACAATCGACAATGGATTCATGGTCATCATTAGATTGTTAATTCCAGATATTTATTGAATTCAAATTCAATCCTCTGTCATGGCGGGATTTGAATGCGGGTTGCCAGAATGTTATCTGGGTCTCTGGATTAATAGTCCAACGATAATACCACTAGCCCATCACCTCCCTTTTCCTGAATTTCAAAGAATGAGAGGTGATCTAATTGAAACCTACAAAATTATGAAAAGGATAGACAGGATAGATGCAGGTAAGATGTATCTCCTGGTTGGTATTGGATTTCTTTTGACTCAGAGTGTTGCGTACCTTTGGAATTCTCTACCACAGAGGGCTATGAAAAGTGATCTTTAAGTATGTTTAATATCGTGGTATCTAGACTCCCATTTAGACTGGACCAGGTAAGGATCGCAGATTTCCTTCCCTGAAAGACATTGGTGGACCAGATAGTCTTTAACAAAAATTGAGGATAGTTTTACCCTAGCTTTTTTTTTGACACTAATTGGATTTAAATCCCATGAGGTGCCATGATGGAATTTTAACCCATATCGCCAGAGTATTAACCAGCCATCTGAGTTATCAGTCCAGTGACATTACCACATTACCACTTTACCACCTTTGCCCAATTATGGATTGTGTACTTACAGGATCAGCAGTATTGGGAAGGAGAAGCTGAATCGGAGGAGTAGTTTTTGCACATTCTGACCTTCCCCGTGTTCACTATTCCTGCAATCATTCTGCATTGTTTTCCTGATGTCAGAAAGATGCTTACATTTGCAATTCATAGAATCATGCAGAAGAGACCCTTCAGAGGCCCATCAAATCTCTACCACCAAAAATACACTGCTACCTATGCTAGTCCCACTATCCCGCACTAGGTCCATAGCCTTAAATTTTTTGACATTTATGTGCTCATTCAAGTACATTTTAAAGATTGTGAGGTTTCCCGCTCAACTACCCTTCCAGGCCGTGCATTCCAGACCCCCCTCAGCCTCTGGGTGAAAAAGCTTTTCCTTAACTTCTCTCTAAACCTCCCACCTTTCCCTTCAAAATTTATGCCCCCTTGTTCTTGACCGTTTGACTAATGGGAACAGGTGCTTTCTATTCATGCTGCTTATGCTCTTCTTAATCTTTATACATCTCTATCGAGTCCCCGTTCAATTTTCTCTGCTGCAAAGAAAACAACCCAAGCTTATCCAGCCTCTCTTCATAGCTGAAATACTCCATCACTGGCAACATTCTGATGAACTCTTTGCATCCCCTCCAGTGCAATCACTTCCTTCCTGTAGTGCAGCTACCAGAACTGCGCACAGTACTCCAGCTGAGGCCTACCAATGCTATGTACAGCTGCAACATGACTCTCTGTCCTTTATAACCTAGGTCACAACTGATAAAGACAAGCATCTCTTATGCCTCCTTAACTACCCTATTAACCTGTCGCCTCACCTTTTGGAATCTGTGGACAAGCACCTTAAGATCCCTCTGACCTTCCTGGTGTTCTGGCATTTATTGGCTATTCCCTTGTCTTTTTCCTTCTTCCACAGTGTATCACCTCACATTTATCAGGGATATATTCCATTTGCCACTGATCTGCCCATCTGATGAATCTGTTTATGCTTTCCTGTAACCCAACACCTTCCTCCTATTGTCAACCAATGGCCAATCTTTGTGTCATCCATTAACTTACTTACCATTCCCCCAAAACCTAATGTATATCATTTATGAATATCATAAATAATCAGTTGTTCAGCCCCACACCATGAAAGAACTGTACTGTATGTAATATTTCTATGGATTTTGAATTTGTTGCCCTTAATTATCTTTGCTCTGATATGGGCTACATTTCGAGGGCAAATATGTCCACTGGCCCTATGTGGTTGAAGAGTAGAAAGACAGACTAGCTATTTACCTTGCCCTTTCAAGAGTTAACAATGTGCACTTAGATGCAAAATCGATGAAAGGTTCTGTGTTCTTGATTCCATTCTGTATTAACTCACAGTTAAAATGATGGTCTCCAATTCATTTTAACAAGCAGAAGTGGAGTTTACATGTATCATAAGGCTGATTCAACAGAAAACAGAATTGCTTGAAACTTAACCTCGTTAATAGAATTTACTGAAACAACAATAACAGCTAAAATAATTGGGGTGGGATCCAGAAAAAAAGGTTCAGCATGAAGGGATGAAAAGCCAAAATTAAAAGAGACAGCAAGGCAGTCAAGCAAACATAGAAATTACAGGCTAGTTAAGGCAAAAAGGAATTTGGCAGGGTTGGATGTTATTTCTTTTAATGCAAGTCTCTTGAACAAAGCAGATGACTTGAGGGCACAAATTAAAACATGGGGTTATGGTATAATTGCTATCACTGAAACATGGTTGAGACAGGGGCAGGATTAGGAGCTCAATATTCCAGATTATAGGATTTTCAGGTGCGACAGGGAAGGAGGTAAAAGAGAAATGATGTGGCAGTATTGATCATGGAATCAATTATTAGCAGTAAGGAGATATGACATTTAGAAAATTCTTCAAATGAAGCTATGTAGGTAGAACTTAAAAACCAAATAGGCCCAAACATATTGCTCGGAGTGTACTGTAGCTTCCTAATAGCCAGAGAGAAATAGAATAGCAGATATGTCAGCAAATTTTAGGGAAGTGTAAAAATAATAGGGCTGTGATACCAGGAGATTTCAACTTGCCCAATATTAACTAGCATTGTCATTGTGTGAACGATTTACAGGGAGCAGAATTCTTAAAATGCATCCAGGCGAGATTTTTAAACTAGTATGTAGAATGACCTACAAGAGAGAGGGTGGTCCAGGACTTAATTTTCGGTAATGAAGCTGGACAAGTGGTTGAAGTGTCAGTGGGGAAATGTTTTTCAGTGAGCAATCACAACTCTGTTAGACTCAAAATTGTTATGGAAATGACCAAGAATGGACTTGAAATCAAAGCCCTCAGCTCAGGTATGATTTGACCAGAGTAGACTCAAAGCAGATGCATTTAGGTAAATCTGTGTCAGAGCAGTGGGATGTAATTGAGAAGGAAATATGGAGAGTACACAGCCAACCTGGTCCCATTAAAATAAAGGATGGACCATCAAATCCTGTGAACCCTACATATCAAGGATTGAATAAAGAGAAAAAGGGACACTTATGGCAGATACCAAGGGCTGAAAACAGTAGAAGTCCTTCAGAATGTGCAAGGGGACACTTAAAAAGGCAATTAGGAGAGCAAAAAGGAGCATGAAAAAATAATGGCAGGTAAGACAAAATCCTACGTTATTTTATAAGTAAATTAAGGATAACTAGCAAAAGAGTAGGGCTGTAATGATAATTTATGTGTCGAGCCAGAAGTCATTGGCCAGGTTCTAAATTAGTATTTTGTCAGTGTTCACTTGAGTGAGACAATATGGGTATAGAAATTGGTGGAAAGAGACTGTGATACAATTTTAAAAATTAGCATAGACAGGAGGTTCTGAGTGGTCTGGCAGTCTTAACAATAGGTAAGTATCCAGGGCTGGATGAAATGTATCTCAGGTTATTGACTGAGGCAAGGAAGGAAATAGCAGGAATGCTGGCAATAATTTTCAGTTCCTTTCTGGCCACCAGAAAGGTGCCAGAGGACTGGAGAACAGCCAATGTGGTACCATCATTCAAGAAGTGACCAAGAGATAAATAAGGAAACTACAGGCCAGTCAATCTAATTTCAGTGGTGGGGAAACTATTGGAAACAAT